CATGCACTGAGAAGGCCGACTGAGGACATCACGCGTCAGGCCCTCGAGTGGAATCCCCATGGGAAGCGACGAGTTGGACGTCCGAGGGTGACATGGAGGAGGTCATGCGAGGAGGAAATGAGAGGTTGTGGGCTGTCGTGGAACCAGGTTCAAAAGATCTCGGAGAACAGAGGTCACTGGAGGCGTGCTACTGAAGCCCTATGTTCCACTAGGAACCCAAGGGACTAATAATAATAATAATAATAATAAGTTAGGAAACAATTTGCACGTTGACTCTAAATAATATAGGTGTAAAACTTGGGCACTGTGGTAGAAATTAGTCCCATATTAGATTTCTTTATTCGATTTATAACACACAGTGATCTAGTATTATTTACTTGATGATATTTCGAGCATAAATTATCATTACTCATAATCATATCAATGTAATCACACTACTTTCGACATTTGATTGTTATAGTTACGTCACTTCATATGAATTGATTTTATTGGTAGCAAAATTTTCCATATCTCTGATATAGGTGTTGTGTCATTTCTATCACATGCGTTGTGTGTTGATTCGATGAACAAAGATTCAGTAATCAATCTCTCTCTCCACCTAATTATATTGGACTTAAGTACAGAGGCTTTATCCCACCTTATTGTGTTGTTGTGTGTTAATGTATGCATAGCAATAGGCGAGTTGTTTCTAGATTATTCATCTTATTTAGATCTGTTATTCTATATTTAGAAAAATTCCTATGTTCGGCTATTCTAACTGACCCCAACCGACTAGTTTGACCTATGTACTTGACCTCACAGTCATCACATGGAATTTGATAGATTATATTATTTTGTTGAATTGGTTCCATCGGATCCTTAAGCCAACAAAGTTTATCTCTGAGTGAGTTTGTAGGTTTAAATGCCACCCTGATTCCAGCTCTGTTGACGATTCTATGTAAAGTATCTGATGTACCTTCCTTATAGGGTAACACAATGCAATCAGTGAACTCCTTTCTAATTGTGTTGTCGTTATTATTCGTACTCACGTTACTGTTATTTTTTCGTTTTTTGTGTGTTCATACGAATTTCTTAATAAACTGTTCACAGGACAAAACGCGCATTCCTGGGTTCATCTGCTAGCCGCAACCAAGTAATTGATCAGTATTTATTTAACTATTTAGCTTTCTCAGTCTGGATGCAGCTGGAAAGAATTTATCTACTTTTACATTTCTATCCCAATAAATGTTGGAATGAATATGTGTAGAACCTGGACACTGTGGTGGAATGTGGTTTTATGTTAGATCTCTCTATCTGATATGACACACAGTGATACGTTATTATTTATTAGAGACATCAGCTGTGAATAATATACGAAAGGAAAATGACACAGTAATCGCCAAATCCTATAACAATAACTCAACAATAGTACTGGGCAAAGCTGATTACTGCAAAAAAAGACAAACATTTTCAAACAGAACTATGTCAGGTAATCAAGAAACCCATAACGTGTCAATGATAAGGTTAAGAAGTCCACAGACAATCTGATAAGCTGACTGAAGCCATCTCTAGGTGAGTCTAAATGGCATAATTTGATGGCTGAAACTAACAATCCCAGTGGGATTTACAGTATTATTAAGATTCAAAAAGCAGGTCATCCCATCAGACGTCCAAAACATTCCAACGTCTGAATTATTTAAGCATTTAGAATCAACGTTATATAATACTGAAAACCGTTCAAACCCGAAACTTATCAGTTCGTACAAACTTAAACTAAGACTCAGTGACCCACAAGAAGTTGTTGAAAGAAATGATTGTTTTCGATATAAATAGCCTTCATACTGAGATATCAATCAATGGGGCAGGAGTCAGAAATGAGCTAAATATTGACTCAGAACTTAGGCACAGAACTAAGATATCGATTGATAAGACCAAATTAAATGTATAGTTGTGTCTAACTTCCACAGTTTTCTAGCTTCAGGACAAAATATGTAGACAAACAGAAAGAGTAGCAATGGGGTCAACAATATCCCCAGTCCTAGCAGAAATATTTGTTGATAGCTAAAAACACATTGCTTTAAAGACCTTTAATTCTACTCATATGATGTGGTGGAGATATATGTATGACACATTTAATGGGTTATACTTCGAACTTATCGGTAGTTTCTCTACACATAAACTCGGTAGAAGGTACAATTCACTTCACTCATTAGTTAGGAGATAAACAAGGAGAATTATCTATGTTAGATTGCAACGTAAAAAGCCAAAACATGGTGGTTTAGATATTACCATCCGCAGGTAACCAACGCATTCTAACAGGTGTCTAGATCAGGCCATCTAATCCAATGTTAGTTAAAGCGAGTTCATTGAAGTGTTTAAATAACGGCTTGAAAACTCACTAGTGGATCAAAGGAATTTAAACGTATTAAGTAAAAAAATACTATTGATAAAGTTATCAACTAAAGTTTATCTAGAAATTCATAAGGTGCCAAGAAAATAAGCACCAATATTATTATGAATAGTAAAGGCAACATAAATAGAATGGATCTACAAACTCACTCAGATAAACCTTTTCGGTCTAAGGGATCCTATTGAGTGGATTAAACAAAATTTAATCAATTAAATGACATAAAATGACTTAGAGATCTAATACTTAGGTCAAACTGGCCTGCTGGTGTCAGTTGGAGTATAAGAATATAGGAATTTAGCTGAACCTAGGAAGATAGACCCCAGTAAGATCAATAATCTAGAAAAAAATCTACTATCACAATACATGCACTGAAAAATAACCTTGCTATAGGGTAGGACAAAGCAATTTCAATAAGTATTAACATAGCTAGGTTGAGGGAGAGAGTAATTACCGAATCTTTGTTCATCAAATAAACACCCAACATATGTAATAGGAATGACATAACACACATATCGGGGATTTAGAAAATCCTACTACCCGTCGTGACCTGAATAGCTCGTAGTTTAGGTCTGTGACTTCAGTACTGGGTTATGCAGGTTATGATCGCAGAAGGAGCATCAGTTTCCTCGTGCTTGCAGGCGCGTCTTGCTGATAAGTACCAAGAAGCATGAGACCTAGGTCCACGGCTTAGTGCCGATTGACCCCTATCATCTTACGCCAAATATATTTACCTATTTTAATAGACTTGTATATTACGGTAGACAGACATATCTACTAAGTATTATTCTTTTCGCTCAGTGACCATTGTGACATTTCATTTTTATAGTGACCAAATTAGAAGGTTGAATTGAGCCTATAAATTAACTATTTCACTGAAGCACTAGTAATACACCTAAAGTTTCAAGACTGCTTGTTGTCTTGCAGGGTGTGACGATTTTGGTGACTGAAGTTACTTTAGGGGAAAATTCGGTGATTTACAATCAAGGTGTAAAGTTGCTTGGCATTTAAAACTGATTTTAGTCTGGTTTCTAAGTTTATGATGTGATCATTTAGCTAGTTGATGTGACAGTTTGATGTGTTGTAATTTAGTTTCATATGTGAGAGGTTATTCAGTAGAGAGTCATAGAATCTAGTTTTCTGTTTGCTGGCGCTCATCGATGTGGCATTTCTATAATCATACTCCTTCAGATATTCGGAACTAATCCACTCAGCCCTGAAACCAAAGGCTTAGACGTATGGCTACCTTGGCTGTTTTTTAAGAAGAATTTGTTTACAGACTGCAATCCTATCGGTGAAGAGTTGTCATTCAAAAAGCTTCATAAGAAAGATTTTTACTTCTGTGTTGAGTAATTCAGTATCCCTCACCTAAACAAATAACAAATCTTTTGCGTAAAATACTTATGTTTACAAAGTATTGGTTTCTATATAGTCAGCAAAACATTTCAAAGTTTCATGACAAAAGAAAATTACCTAAAAAATTGCTCAGTTGACAACTGAAGTTTCTGTGAATAAAGTCAACATCATTTTCAATCGAATTGTAGATTTCATTTTTAACCCCTGTTCTGGTGTTACACGCATTTTTACAGATGTCATGTTTCTTTTTAATAGAAACTAACTAAACAAAGATGTAGATGTTTATATTCAGATCAGCAGAGTTTTACTAGTTTATCACATTCACTCTACCTGTTGGTACCATAATGTCATCTTTAATGAGACCATCCATATGAACTCCTTAAATAGTTCTCAAGAAAGAATGAGTTCAGAAATAGCGAGCTTCGAGTAAAAAATGATATCATTGCAGTGTTCAGAGATGGGGATTTGGAGACTGCATTACTGTGAGGTCAGAATATATATTTTTGGATACCAATAATTTGTACTTCTGTCTGATGGCATTTATATTGCACACTAGTCACTTTAGGAAACCCTGGTGCTAGAGTTACAACCTCTTAATTCACCATATTTGTTATACTCTGGAATTGGTTGTATTGTGTCCTCTGAGCTGGGTTGTTTAATCGTGTGGTCTATATCTAACACTTCGGCAGAACATGCTGACGTAGGCACTCATGAAGAAAGGATAGTTATTCTTTTGTGGAAGCTTGCCTTTTGGAGAAGTCTTCCCATCTTCGAACAACGTGAAGCGTGTCATGCTCGTATGATTTTGCAATAATGGAGAATATTTGTAGCTCAGGTAGATGGTCTTGGTTGTATTGTGTTCTCCGATTAAACAACCCAGCTCAGAGAACACAATACAACCAAGACCATCCACCTGAGCTACAAATATTCTCCATTATTTCATACTCGAGAATTCTCGTGCTAACAGAATCTCATAGTTGATTGGACCGAATTTATCGGTCTGTATTGGCATATGGGCTCCTGTGCGAGTGCCTCGATATTACCTGTGTTCTAATAATATTAATCTCATTTATACTTGTATTACAGATTTCAGTAAAAAACAAACTGCACAGAAGTTCACTTTTACTGTTTTATTATTATTATTAAGAAATCATGGAAATAATTAGTACACATTAACAAAAGATGTCTCATTAGTAAAACAGCTAAAGACAAAAATCATTTTATCCTGAATGTTGTTTTGCTGCAGTTTTCAGCATTCTTAATGGTTCTTATAGGTTTTATGTACAAATAGCAGGAATTCTTTATAGTCTATTTCTCCATCTTTATCTTTGTCATTTTCTGCCATCCATTTTTTCAAGTCATCCATATTTAGATCATTGCATTGGGCCTTACAGAATTCTTCCATTTCCTTGATCGATACTTTTCCTGATTTATCTTTGTCGATATGTTGGAAAACATCTCTCCAGACCATCGCGCTACGAGATGAAACAAACAGAGAGCGATGAATCAGGTAGACAACATTAATTTATATCGGTTTGTCTGCTCAGAAAACAGATCACTTGCAAAAAAAGAACAAAAGAAAAACTATGTCACACATAGAACATCAAAAGTTACTGGAAAATAAAATACCCGTATTACCCAAATGCTTTTCCGTAAACACATCAGTACATACTAGTTAGCAAGATTAACGTTAGAAGTGATTAGCTAAGTAAACTGTTTGGAGATGATAATTTACTTGGTTTTGGCTAGCAGAGAAGTCCAGGATGCACGTTTCGTCCTCTTTGGGACTCGTCAACTGCATGTACCTGGACCCTAGTGAGTGATGTTGTCCCCATTGAGACTCGACCTTCGTACCATCAACCACCTCAACCCTAAGCAGCTTGTTCTTATTGAAATTTATATTTCCTCGATGTAATCCTTTGTTACTTTGTGTGTGTGTGTGCGTGTGTGTGTGTGTGGATATCATGGACAAAGTTGTGGGTAATTCTGATAATTATCAAGTGTGAGTAGCAACAATGCAAATATAGCTCACAGGCATGTGGTGATTTATGTCGAATAGGAAGATAATAAGTCTTGTCTCTTAGTGATACCTACCGTCACTCACTATTATCACACTCGATTTCAAGCACATACTGTGGAAATTACAGGCAATTACTTCCTATCTATTAAAAGTCAAACTTAAGTCACCAATTCGAAAGCAAATTAACCTATTTGTGTAACAATAACTAAACAATTTTTTCGGAATACAATGAGTTAGTAGATAGCAATGGTGAGGCAAACGAGGTTTATAGAACAAAACAAAAATTTCTTTTCACTTCATTGTAGTTAGGATTTGGACTCAGGGAACCCATTCTGTTATATTTATCACTAGCAGGCTGGGTGAATCTGTTTGTGAGGTGAATCACGCAAAGGCTTGAACTCACTACCCTCCACTTCAGATGATCTATGATTGTGTACCATACTCCTCATTTATTAGCAATACTTTGTGATCAACAACCATCAATATCTAGCTAGACTTAATATTTTGCTAATGTTCTCTGGTTTTGACTTATCATATGGAAGAGAACAAACAATTATAGTCTTTTAGATTTCATTAACTGTATCATCACCACCCGAAGTAAGAATTAAAACTTTTGAACAGCACTGACATAAAATACTCTTGATAAGTTAGATATAGCAGATCATTTGGGGATCATATACCACAATGTTCTTATCACACAATAGTTATTTTTTAATAACAGAAGTATTCTTTCATGCTAAATTGTGAGTAACCGACTTTCAAAACTTCTTTGTCAGGTAAATACACACTATAGAATCTCAGCTGATTATAAAACAAATACTGAAAAACTTACACTTTCTCACTTTTAGGAAGCTTTCTCAACTTTTCCAAAACTCTTCCAAAGAAATCTTTCCATCACCGTCCTTATCAGTTCCTCTAATAATTTCCTACACAAGACAGATAAAGTATGATACATATAATTAATTTAAACAGTGTTTTCTGATCCTTAAAAATTATATTACAGTATTTTTTAAGCGAAATTCACTTTTAAATTTTGAAAAAAGAATGTGTACACATTAGAAATATATACAAATGAAATGAAATAACAACCACAGCTCACAAACTTGAAGCAATTAGGTGATCCTTTATATTGAATCATAATAGTTGGCTTCTTTGGATACAGCAAAAAGAGACAAGGTGTACTTATCAAAATATAAGCACGAATTTGCCGAATTTAAAAGCAACTGATTTGTTACAAGTAGGACTGAACATAGTACACTACTGTTTTGAAAAGAGAAATGTTGATTTCAGTTTATTACTAGTTATTTACACCATTTTGGTACAGATAAACCCAAGGTAGTACATTCATTAATCTCACTACAAGCTGATTAGATGATAAAGTGAGCTGTCGTAATCTTCTTCAGGTACAAATTTCTTTTCGAGTCACTTCACATAATGACAGGCATTTGTCCTTCTGGCAAACACATCAAATTTATAAAAAGCACTTTCATCTGATAGTATTAGCAGTGATAAGAATATACTTCATTAAAGGTTGGTATTTAACTGCGCGAAAATAAGGCGGAAATGCTTTTTGATAAACGTCTCTATCGAAATTTCATCAATTGTTACACGATGTTCACAACCAGTCAGTAATGTCTACACTATTAGACACAATTTCCTCTCCAAATAATGAATTACAATAGTTTAATAGAATCTTAAATTACTCAGCAACGAGTAGTACAAAAACTACAGAAGACAATAGGTGATGACGGACACTTCTATCGAACGTTTCGCAGTTGGATAAACAATTTTTAGTTGGCTAGATGAAAAACTTTTGTTACACATAGTAATGACTTTTAGCTTACAAATTTGTAATTTGATAGTGAAGCGATTTCGTTATGCAACTGTTGCACGCTTTTAATACCTATGTATGTTCTGACTTCATTTTGTCCTTTGATACACATATAGTGTGGAAAGAGAATGCATCGCAGCCTAGATTGAAGAAGAGATACTGGATAGAGCTGTATAACTAAAGTCTGTGATGAGGAATATGTACTTGGACAAACATCTGACAGATTCTATCGGCTATAAAAAATACACAGATAGTTCTTGCAAGTAATCCTATCTCATTTGATTATCATATATTTCTTAATTAAACATTATTTCGCCGTTGTTGTGAAACTGTGATCAACCCTTAACTTTATTTTTACTTTCTACTGACTAGAATTTCTCCATTGACTATGGAGTACAACAAATAGCTTGTAAGCAAACTATTCAGTACAATGTTCATTTGAAACAGTGGTCTTGTTGACATATGCATTCAGACAAAGATATCACAACTTAATTGTCTGATTAAATTAATTTTCAAACCTTATGAAGTTATATGCAGTTTTTGTCACTGAATTCCATAAATTTTAGGTGACTTGCTCAATGAAAGTTGTATCCACGCTTCCAGATGAGTCAGTTAAATAAATATTTCGCAAATTAGTTACTGGTATCATAATCTATAATAGTTTTTCCCACAAGTGAATAGTTTATCGACTAGTTTATTATGATACCATGAGGATTTCCATTGGAAGTCACTGAGTTAAGATTAAAATCTTTGACTCATATGTCTTTTGAAACTAGGCAGTTAGAAACTGCTCACGCTAGACTATGAACTGAGGTCGTAAATGTCTTAACTTTTGAAGACTAAACAACCTGAGTATATGAATATGAACTTCGTCTTATAGAAGCAAAACGGTTAACCAACATTAATGACACTTTAAAATGTTGAATGGATTTCAGCTACTCATTTTCACAGTATTAAAAAGGAACACGCTGTACACTCTTATAAAACCTTTCAGATAAGATATTCATATTAGGTATATTAGTCTGAAATATGACTTAGAAAACTTTTGTGTCATAGCCATCTGAACTTTTAAACCTTTCAAATATGCAGTTTTTGATTATTCGTTAACTGGATAATGCCGTACTGATTTCTTTCAAACATATTTAAACCTGGCTTATAAAACGTTCGCCTGAATAAAGGCAGAGATATATCCTTACAGTCTTTTAATGGGGTTGAGTTCTTTTATCTAGAGTGTTTAATCACGGTTCTTTTATTATCATCCTGAAGTTTGTGCTGGTAACGTTGTCTGGAATGAAAACAAAAGCTGCGCAATTACATATTACTGCTCAGAGAACTCAACATCATCAAAATTATCCTTCTGAGCTATAAATATTCTCCATCATACTAAAAGTCTTTTGAACTAAAACGCATCAATTTATCCAAAGTATATGTTCTAGTAATCACTCACTTCAGCAATTTTGGGATCAACACCTTTCTTTTTCCATAATTCTTCAATTTCATTACAAGTTAGATATCCATTTTTATCTTTATCGATGTGATGAAAAGCTTCAATCCATTCCTTCTCGTTTGCCATATGTACGTTAAGGCGATGTAAAGATGCTTTTGATTACTTACTGTGAAAATGAACTCAGTTTCACAGCAAATCTAATGTCTTTATATACCCTTTCGCAATTAAGTACTGACTAAAAGAACATTTCCTACGAAGAACAAATGATTTTTACTAATAGAGTACTCTGAATTCTCACAATGATTGTCTCCCATTGTTGGTATATTAGTATGATATATTATAACCATTGTTGTTTACGTGTCCTCGTAAGGACACGCACATTATGAAACACAAATGTGACTGCACTAAAAGGGGAATACGTAAGGAGCTTATGAACAAACAGTCTTACACAAAAAGTAAAGCTTGTTCCTATTTTACAAAAGACAATAAAATGTTAGTTGTTTAGCGCTTTATTATGAGGTAATTGTATCTAGTAATCATAGAGGTTTATTCCCACAATACCACATTCTTAATTTAATGAGATAAATGATCAGAGAAGTCATAGTTGCTTTATCATAGGAACAGTGCCTAAAGTCTGTTATCAATAAACATTAAAAACATTTCTTCATATGGTTCATAAAGAAAATTTTGTACCTTATTTTGCGTCCAGTGTTATAACTTGTGAATATACACTTATAGGTTGATGATGAGTGGAAGTTGGACTTTGAACGCTAGTTATGGATAAACATATCTATGGTTGTAGTACTTAAATAGTAACGCTGAATGGAAATTGTGTACTTTAAAATATCAGCTTTTTGGACCTACAGCAGACACACCTTTGGGCTTCTTTAGTTGAATTTCCATGTTATAACTGAAATGATAAGTCATCTAACTGATAAGCGCATAAAGTAACCTAAACTTGGGATTCAAACTCTATTAGTTCGAAATGTCATAATTATAGTTTAATATGCTGCACTTTAGTGGCCGTATTCATTACTGGTTCCGCCATCATCTATCAGGGTATATATATATATATATATATATATATATATATATATATGCAGTGATAAAGAGTAACATACTAATTCAAAGCCCCCCCCCCCCACCACTTTCAATGATATATCTTCAGAAACTGCAGGTTCTAGATTCAACTCGCAACTACATTATTGGCTAACAATGTTTAGTGTGGCATATAGTTTACTTCTTGTCAACGCTTAAGCACATATGATAGAATTTTATGAAATACTTTCCTGTAACTCACTAGATATTTTCAGCTTTTTAAATAAAATTTCATTCCACAGATTTAGAAAATGCAAGATTTAAGTTGTGGAAAGTAGACAAAGTGTAAACTTGAAATTTCCCAATTTCTCTTCTCGTTTTAGTAAGTCACCTTCTAGTCTATTACCTTCAGATTACAAATATATTCAGCGAACAAGTAAAGGAATTTCTAAACACTTATGTGCATTTATAACAGTTTATATTTGGTTAGATTCTGTGTGGTTATGTATTTGTAATGTCACGACTTTAAAGAAATTATGAAGTTAGGTGGTACTCTCAATTTCATTTCTCGATCTGCCATCAAACTAAATTCATTCACGCTAGTTATCTCAGTAGTTCCAGTTCACAGTTTGAGGCATTCACAAAGAAATCTTTGATAAACTGATCACATTACTTGTTGACTTTTTAACTTTACTGTGTATTTTTCTAAGTTCGTCTTACGGAGACTTTATTTCTCTCCCAAATCTGCTGGACAAACTTAAGATAGATGTGTCTGTTATGAATAACACAACATCTACTAATCTCAAAATTTATCTTTCGTTGAGAAACATACCGTCATTTAAAGGTGGCCTAGGTACCCTGATTACTTTGACAAAACACATTGAAAGCTCTGAGACACCAAATAGAACGCCTATAGTTCGAATAACTATTGACAAACTGTTTAATATTTTGTACAAAATATCTGTCACTAATAAAGTGAAAGCACTAAACTTCTGATATTTAATCTTCCACGTCATATTAAACTTACCGACAGATATGACTTACAAGAAAAAATGTTTTGCCCACCTTCCCCACGCGTATTTTGAGTTTCATTAAAATTTAGACAAAAGTAGAAAGCTATATAAGTAGTACATTTCAGTCGAAGTTTAATTAAATGCGAACAACAATAATAATGTCCATTTTCATTCCTAATTAATTTAGAACAGAACTGAAGTAACATACTCTTTTATATTATGATCTGTTGATGCAAATACTTTAAATGAGATGAAGTTAAGAATTGCATTAATGAGTATGGATTAACAACAAATACATTATAAAATGATCAATGTAGATAAGAAAATAAGCATCGAATTAGATGCCTATCGTGTAAACGAATGTATATAGTCACAAATCACTTTGCTGATTGACATCAGTATTACAGTTTTCAAAACTATATCAAACTTTTGTTTTTGTTATGACAAAGTTCATATCAGCATTTGGGCATACTTTATTAATATGCTGTTTGTATTGGTGGTTAGACTACATTTATCATTATCTGTTAATATGTAACTCTTACTAAGCAAATACCTTTCTGCTTCTTATGACTGAGATTGATCAACTCTCATCTGCAGTTACTAGTCGGTTTGACAGCGAATAACGGTGAAACAGGAATATATCCTTAGTTGTTGGAAGGTAGATGAAACTATCTGTAAGAATCTCTCTAACGGCTTAGTTAAACTGTCATGTAGATATAAACATCACCTCCTACGGATGTTAAGTTCATCGGTGAACTATGCCCACCGATTCTAAAATAATTCGAATGCTTACTGACCGCATGTCTGAACTATAGAATTAAAACTGAAAGACGGGTGTTACTTACTCTCACTGCTATTAGGAACGCAAAAATTGGCAATGTGCTAGTATCCAGTCCTTCCAGATTTCATGAAATTATTGAAAACGCCGACGCATACTAGTCCGGTGAAAGTGTTCCTGGTCTCTAAATAATTTCAAATAACAGGTAATTACCGTGTCGTAAGCCATGATTTTAGTGGCTGGCTATTTTGACATGAATAAACTTAAGATCAATTATACGTCACCATCTTAAATACATATTATGTATAAAGTTGTTCCCCGTTTCACTCTCATACTATATTTGTGTAAAATGTGCACATCAGCCATATTGCAGAGTTTCTGTCAGCATTCTTCATGGAAGGTAGCTGTTTTGCGAATACCTCAATACTGCTGGATATTCACGATGCTGTATTAATTTTGGTGACTAGCAGCGGAATATAAGACACGAGTTTTGTGCAACTTACCACTCGTCAGCTGGATATACTTGCACCTCAGTGAGTGACGTCGCTGCCACCAAGACTGGAACTCAATGTCTATCGCTTCAAACGCCAAAACGTTATCCACTAGGTCATTGGGGCACGACAGCCACCACTTGTACAATGGGTATCAGTTATTATTTTGATATTTGTAATTTTCCGTTGTTATACTGGGTCGGAATGCTCCACCTCTTTTGACAGATGAGCTCTTATGAGGAGGCATTGATACTACTGGATATTCATGATGTTGTATTGTTGTTGTGCATTTTTGTCTGAGTGTACATCAGTCTGACCATCCACACAAATAAAACCTGATACAACCGCGAATTTTTTCTACCCAAACAAATGCAGTATAATGTTTTTTGCATATCTGAGAATTTCGCTGTTGACAAGGTGTAAATTTAGTCAAAGTCAGCCTATCGGTAAACGCGGTCAACAAAATTATGTGTACGTTAACTTCCTTTTAGTTCATAAGATACATTTCTTTTTAACGGCAGCCATATAAGATTTCTTGAGAAAACCTTAACCTATGGTCCTACAAAACAATACTACAGCGAATGATAATTTTTCATACCTACTAGTTCACGTTGACTAATCTTCATCTTCTCCACTTATATTTCCTCTCTTCAGTCGTAGATTTCGATAATCAAATTAAACAACATCTAACATGTCAACTGATGAAGACTTTTTATGTTGCCAAACTCAGACTAACTTCCTCTACTTTCGAAATGTAAAAGATAAGCTAGCTCTCTACTTTCGCTTTGTGGCGTTGGGAATGTTGTCGTTCTCGACTTTCACCTTCTAAACGCATCTTGAACACGTAGAACCTCGTCTGCAAAGGAAAATAGAAAGCTTCTCACAGCTCTGTCTTTGGATATTTGATCTATTCTCACTGACCATTCAGTTAATACAGCAAACGACTTCAGTTTCACCTAAGGAGTTCGTCAAAGCTGAATGAAAGTTGTACGTCTGAAACTTCTTAAAACTGCAGGAGGCATGGCAATCCATACTTTATAGGTTAAACTCTGTATTCAACGACAGTTTGTTTAGTTACCCTAGTTACATCATTTTTTGAATTATTTAACTTCTAAAATCTGTTCTTTCATCTGCCTGTTAGCACATTGTTTCTTCTCACGTATAATATAATACCAATCTTGAAGTGTTGGCGCCTTACTACGTTTATTTCTCCCTCTTAAGCATATTCCATCATTTAATTTAGTAAATTGTTGTTGCCACGGTTCTAACAAGTGTTCTTCTCATTATTCTTTACGACACTACACAATCCTTCTTTTTAATCTCTTGATCTATAATTAAAACTGGATTCTGTTCAAGAACATTACACGGATGATTCTTTTCTGTTGCCATATAAACATAATAATTTTATGCCTTTGTACAGCTTGAGAACGACGTTGAAAGGAGTGACTCTTTGATAAATGTAATTTGTTTCGATTTATTCGATAAAAAATTTGTTTGTTCTCAGCATTTTTAAATTTGTCAAGGGAACAAAATGTATGAATTTGTTAGAAATAATTTTAGTCGTTTCTTTACTAAAGAAATGGTTAAGTGAGCACGTTTAAAACCTAGTTAATCATTCAGTCGTGAAAATTAAACTTAATTTTTGTAATTTATTTATTATCACGATAAATAACGGTTTATGTTCAGAACTGTATAGGTCATCACCTATTTCAGAAATTCTGTTTGCACTTTTCTTTAGTATCTTCACAGAAATATGTTATTACCGCCAATCAGAGTCACCTAGATATGGAGTCAGACTAGATCTTA